ACCTTTAGCTTTTAGCTTATGTTTTGCGCAACAGGCATTCACCCTTGCATTTTCCTAGGAAATGCAAATTCTCTAGTTACAAATAACTTCATTTCTGGACATTTATGGTTTGATTTCTTTGTATGTATGGATCACTTGGGTTGTTACCGACATCTGGCGAAAATTTCATGTCATTAGCACCTCTAGTAATATATTTACTGAGAAAAATGTTGACATGTTCAATACTTATTTTACCCGCTGTAAGTGTAGAATTAATAGAAACAGTTTTTCATTGGTTAGCTTCTGCCTGCTAGAATCATCATTCATTGCAGACATGTGTACCACATCAACATCTTTTTACCTGATATGATAATGTTTACTGAGCGACATTTCTGTCAAATCAAATTAATGGTAGTCAATATCAAACTCATTTTAACGTGTCGCTTCATCAGCTAATAGTAGTGTCTGAAGAGATGTCCTCGCCCTGATCAAGATGGCCCCCGTCTCTCTGACCATGAAAACTCTTGGGGTAGAGCTTCTAGCCCATACACCTCATTGGACTTGGCCACAGCCTCAGGATTACAGGAGGACCACCGAGCTACAGCAGCTGCCCAGATTATTACTTTTTCTAAGTTAGTTTCCCTCTCATTCTTTTTGTGATCTGTTGAGCTCAAATGCTACAGGAATTAAAGGATTAGCCTTAAAGGAAGCTAATATAGAGTTTGTCTCTAAAAAAACGTTATTTTTAAAGAACGAAGTTCAGTTAGTAATGTGACATGACCAGTGGTGGTCAAAAGGTCATGTCAGGGTTCACAATCTTTTAAAGAATGCATATCAACCTCCTCACCTGTCATGCTAGAATTCTAGACTAAAATCATCCTGGTTTGAGAAAAGTAGTCATTTTGCTCAAACTTTAATAATAAGTTGTGCTCTCACGACTCTCAATTGTCTCCCACCTTTTGTTTTTTGGCGTTGGGAGGTAAAAGTGAGGAAATAACGTCCTAGTGCAGATCCAGGTCTAAGCTCATCACAGGATTTCCCTTTCAACCTAGGCCTGTCTTTTAGAAGATTATCTTTGCATTTACATTTTAGGAAATGATTTTCTTATCTTGTTCTTGCACCACCTGCTCTGCTGGTGAGCCAAGTGTTCAGCACGTCAGCCACTGTAGTGCAGGACGCTTACCCAGTGCCAGCTGGTTCTTTGGCTCTCTGGCAGCAGGCAGCTGGTGGAGAGGTGATGGAGTTTCTGCCACCGTGGCTGTTTCCTGTGCAGACTGAGTGATGGAGGGGGTGGAGGCTTCTCCCTCAGTGTTGTCCTCCTCCGTGTCTGAGGGGACCACGCTGACACGCAGACTGGTTGCCTTGGTGGAAACCAGTAGTGGCACTGCAGACACCATGGCAGGAGCTTTCACTTCACAGAGAGATGACTGAATTAGTTTTGTGTTTAATAAACAATAGGCAGTAATATACTGTAGTATTATATCT